TATACGTAATGGAGACAAGCTAGAAGCATTTCCAATAAGATCAGGGGTTAAACAAGGATGTCCATTATCACCACTGTTGTTCAATATCCTACTGGTAATGTTAGCTTTAGCAATAAGAGGAGAAAAAGAAATTGAAGGTATTAGAATAGGCAAAGAAGAAACAAAGCTATCACTCTTTGCAGATGACATGATGATATACTTAGAGAATCAAGTAAAAAACTACTTGAAATAGTAAACAACTTTAGCAGAGTTACAGCTATAAAATAAACCCACATAAATCATCAGCATTTCTATATATTACCAACAAAGCCCAACAGCAAGAGATAGAAAGGGAAATTCCATTTAAACTTACTGTAGACATTATAAAATATTTAGGAGTCTACCTCCCGATACAAACCCAGGAACTCTATGAACACAATTACAAAACACTTTTCACACAAATAAAGTCAGATCTAAATAATTGGAAAAACATCAGTTGCTCATGGGTAGGCCGAGCTAATATAATAAAAATGACAATTCTACCTAAGCTAATTTACTTAGTGCCATACCAATCAAACTACCAAAAAAATTATTTTATAGAGTTAGAAAAAATAATAACAAGATTCATTTGGAAGAACAAAAGGTCCAGAATATCAAGGGAACTAATGAAAAGAAATGCAGAGGAAGGTGGCCTAGCCATTCCAGATCTTAAATTGTATTATAAAGCAGCAATCATCAAAACTGCTTGGTACTGGCTGAGAAATAGAGTGGTGGATCAGGGGAATAGGTTAAATATGCAAGACACAGTAGTCAACGACTATAGCAATCTATTATTTGATAAACCCAAAGACCCCAGCTTCTGAGATAAGAACCCATTCTTTGAAAAAAACTGCTGGGAAAACTGGAAAAGAGTATGGCAGAAACTAGGCATAGACCAAAATCTCATACCCTATATGAAAATAAAGTCAAAATGGGTACATGATTTAGATACAAAGGCTGATACTATAAGCAAACTGGGGAGAGCAAGGAATAGTTTACCTCTCAGATCTATGGCAAACAGAAGAATTCATGACCAAACAGGAGATAGAGAACATTATGAAAAGCAAAATGGATAATTTTGATTACATTAAATTGAAAAGTTTTTGCACAAATAAAGTTAATGCAACTAAGATTAGAAGGAAGGTAGAAAATTGGGAAAGAATTTTTACAACCAGTGTCTCTGATAAGGGCCTCATTTCTAAAATATATAGAGAATTAAGTCAAATTTATAAAAATACAAGTCATTCCCCAATTGATAAATGGTCAAAGGATATGAACAGGCAGTTCTCAAATGAAGAAATTAAGCCATCTATAGTCATATGAAAAAATGCTCCAAATCACTATTGATTAGAGAAACGCAAATCAAAACAACTCTGAGGTACCACATCACACCTATCAGAATGGCCAACATGACAAAACAGGAAAATGATAAATGTTGGAGAAGATGTGGGAAAATTGGAACACTAATGCATTGTTGGTGGAGTTGTGAAATAATCTGACCATTCTGGAGAGCAATCTGGAACTATGCCCAAAGGGCTATAAAATTGTGCATACCCTTTGACCCAGCAATAACACTTCTAGGACTATATCCCAAAGAGATCATACAAATGGGAAAAGGACCCCCATGTACAAAAATATTTATAGCAACTCTTTTTGTGGTGGCAAAGAATTGGAAATTGAGAGGATGCCCATCAATTGGGGAATGGCTGAGCAAGTTGTGGTATATGAATGTAATGGAATATTATTGTGCTATAAGAAATGATGAGCAGGCAGACTTCAGAAAAACCTAGAAAGACTTGTATGGTCTGATGCTGAGTGAAGTGAGCAGAACCAAGAGAATGCTGTACATAGTAACAGCCACGTTGTGTGATGACTAATATTGATAGACTTGACCCTTCCCTGCAATACAAGGATCTAAGACATCTCCAGAGGCCTTGTGATGGAAAATGCTATCCACACCCAAAGAAAGAACTATAGAATTTGAATGCAGATCGAACCATACTATTTGCTATTTTTTTCCCTCTTCTGTTGAGTTTTGTTTCCTCTTTCTAGTGGTTCCTCCTATTGCTCCTAATTTTTACTTACAACATCACTAATGTGAAAAATATATTTAATAGGAAGGTATATGTATAGCCTATATCAGATTGTGCGCCATCTTGGGAGGGAGGTGGGGAGGAAGGGGGAGAAAAATTTTAAATTCAAAAGCATGTGGAAGTGATTGTTGATAAATCAAAATAAATTAATAAAAAAAAAGAATGGAGAAAAAAGAAAATGGTCTCAAATGAGAAGTTTGGTAACTCAGTTACTATCCCCGGTCTGCCCCCTATTTTCTGTGCGATCAGGGGAAAGTCATTCCATTTCTCAGAGCCCCTGTCTAATTCCCATTGCAAGAAAAGGGTTGGACTAAGCAAGATTCAGCATTGTTTGTTTCTGTAACCACATCGTAACCTGCTCAACCCTTCTTCACTGTTTAGGAGGCAAACCAATTATCAAGTATTTGTTAAACCTCTATTATGGTGGCACATGTCCTGTTATCCCCATCATCACACTGTCCCACCAAGATCACCTATGCAATGGCAGCTTCATCCTGCATTTGGCATTGCAATGCACCCTGCCTTTCCTCTTTTATAGATATCCTAGTGTCACTTGTTGCCAAGCTACTAGTGTCTTTATAAAATGGAGAAGAGAGAAGCTGACTCTCTGCCTGTCTATTTTTCTACCTTTGGTTGTTCAGTCATTTCAGTTATGTCCAACTCTTCATGGCCCCATTGGAGTTTTCTTGGATATAATACTGGAGTGGTTTGCCATTTCTTTCTCCAGCTCATTTTACAGATGAAGAAACTGAGGCAAACAGGGTGAAGTGACTTGCCCAAGGTTGCACAATTAATAAGTGTCTGAGGCCAGATTGGAACTCAGGTCTTCCTGACTCCAGGCCCAGTGCTCTATCCACTGCACCACGTAACTGCCAATTTCCCCCCCTACCTACCTATTATCAGTCACCTCTATCTATAATGAACTTCTTAGCTCATGAGAGGCATGTGTCCTAGGACAGCTTGTGTCACACACCACACGGTCTACATGGATATCTTTTCTTCTGTAAGACTGAATCTCAGGAGATCTTAACCATGCTTGAAATTATTTTCATCTTGAAAGCCATTCATTCATGCAGATTCATGAATTGTTCCATGTATTTCTACTTCAAGAGCCTCCTAATTGGTCCCCCATGTCAGATCTTTCTTCTCCCCAATCCATCTTTCATCTAGCTGCAAAACTGATATTCCCAAAGCACAGGACTGATGATATCATTCCCCTTGAACAAGAAATTTCAGTGGCTCCCTAGTATCTCTAGGATAAGATACCAACCACTTTGTTTGGCATTTAAAGGCCTTCACAATCTAACCCCAGCCTACCTTTGCTGATTTATCAAACACTACTACCTTCACACACTTTATCAGTCTAGTCAAACTGGCTTTCTTGCTGTCCCTCACTCACAGTATTACATCTCTTGTCTCCATTCCTTTGCACAGGGTGCTCTATGGCCTGGAATTTCCTCATCATCTCCAACTCTCTGAATACCTACTTGCCCTCAAAGCTCCAATAAAAATCCATCTTCCCATGAACACTTTTCTGATCTTCCTCTCCCCAGCTTCTAGCACTGCCTAAGTCACTTTGTACAAATTCTATACATATTATGTGTGTGTTCATAGAGTTTTCTTGATTGAATGTAAGCTCTGTGAGGGCAGGAATTTTCATTTTTGTCTCTTTAGCCACAGGGCAGTGGCTGATATACAGTAAGCACATAATAAATACTTGCTAAATCCATGCTATGCTCCCCAAATCACTATATTTTTACCCAGTTATATTGCTATAAGGTGTACATCTTAAAGGTATCAAGGGAAGAAGGAAAGAGCCTTATATACAGTAACAGATATAGCAACATATTTTTTTGCTGTAGCAAAGAACATGAAACAAAAGAGGTGCCCATTAGCTGGGGAATGGCTGAACAGACCGTCATGTGTGAATGAATAGAATATTATTGTGCCATAAGAAATTACAACTATGTCAGATTCAGGGGAACTAGAAAAGACTCCTATGAGCTGAAACTGAGTGAAATGAGCAGGTCAGGGAGAACAACTTATGGGATGATGGCAATAATACTTGAAGAAAACCCATTTCCAAAAACCTCAGAACTCTGATCAAGGCAGTGAAGAATGGGGGCTTCAAAAGACACCTCTCACCTTTTGGAGAGAGGTAGTGGAATTGGAGATGTGGAATGAGATAAGTACTGTTAGACAGGGCCATTGTTTTGATTTGTTTTGCTGGAGCATAGATATGTGTTAATAAGGAAGGAGGCAGCTAGGTGGTGAAGTGGATAGAGCACTGACATTGGAATCCAGAGGAGCTGAGTTCAAATCCAGCCCCAGACACCTAGTAGCTATGTGACCATGGGCAAGTCACTTAATCCCGACTGCCACCCCCAAAAAAGGAAGTCTTCTATACCATCAGGATGGAATGTTAGTTTGGAGGGTAGTGTTAGATATTCAAAAAAAGAACATCAGTGAAATAGTTAATTCAAAATGCAGAGAAGAGGAAAAAAAGGTGGAAAGGGATGCTAACAAACTGAGCAGTTTTGTAATGCCCTTTTACACTTAATATCTAATCTGTCTCTTTGAAGCTTCTTAGAATCATAAAACGTGGGAGCTGGAAGGGACCTCTGAAGTCATTGGCTCCAAAGCACACCTGCCCCTCTTCCATATACCTGACAAGGAGTTATTCCACATTTTCTTGAAGACTTCTGAGAAGAGGACCCTGCTTCCTTCCAAGGTAACTCATTTTACTTTAAGATACAGGCAGTAATTAGGAAGCTTTTTTTAAATTTTCTTTTCTTTCTTTTTCTTAAATATAGAGCTGAATTCAGTTTTGTTGCAACTTGGTTTCTCAAGTGCCTGGGAAGGAAAATGACCTTTGCCAGCCCCACTTACGTTTTCACTGTTGACGTCAGCCTCACTGGGACAGCCAAATAGCTCACGCCTCAGCAGATTCCCATCATACTCCAGAAATGTCAGGTACAGGTTTCGGAAGAACTCAACGTGTTTGTTCTTCACACGGAGTTTCTTTGGGGAGTTCCAATGGATCACCTGTAAGGCAGGAAGACAAAAAACTGTCATGTAGGCAGTATTCTCACAGACCCCAGCCAACATTTTTGTCTCTTTCCATTGATCAAGGAATGTTTATTGAGTATTTGACACTTTTGTGAATTCTGTGAGGGGTAATGAGGTAGAAGACATGATTCTTGCTCTCAGGTAAGCTTTCAGTCTTGCTAGGGAGACAAGGCATAGACTCAATATAAACCATGATAGAGAGACATAAGGTGGTACAGGGGCCAGAGAGATGGCCTCAGTATTGGGAAACCTCAGATTCAAATCCATCTCTGACACACACACACACTGGTTGGACAAGCTACTTAACCTTTCAATGACCCAGCTGATAAGATGCTGAGAAAGGACCCATCCGCAGTGGCAGGGAGCTCTCCTCGTGTGACACTACCTGCATCACTGAAATCACAGATTCACCAGAAGTGATGAATTCGGTGTTATACATTATATAGGCAGCAAAATCTGCCGAGGAAAGCTGGGGCTTCGTCGAGGAGAAACGGGAATTTGAGTTAGGCTTTCAAAGATAGCTAGGACTCCTTGACTCTGGGCAAGTGACTCAACTCTGTCTGCCTCGGTCATTTTATTGGTAAAATGAGACCAATAATAGTACCTACCTCTCAGTGTTGTGAGAATAATTGGATGTTTGTCAAACACTTTGCAAACCTTAAAGTGCTATATAAATACTAGTTGTGTGTTGCTATTATTATTTTGATAGAAACAATAGCTAAGAAAGAACGATCTAGGTGAATGGAACATCATGGTAGCCTGGCATTGAGACACAGGGATAACTAAAGATGAGGGATCCCTGCAAACAGAGTGAGAGATGCCTTCAGTCCATGAATCCTTTTGGCCCAGTCATAAGAGGGGTGCAAACATATTTTCTAGGTGAGCACATATGTCACATATAGGTAATCTTCTCAAGTAATTGAGAACAACCCTAGATGACCAACAAGATAAGATAGTATTGGCTAACAAAGAAAGGTAGGAAATTAACATAATCAAACACTATAATGCAATTAAAACTAGGAAGTTGGAGGGATACAGGGAAATCTGAAGACACTTTTACAAAACAAAACAAATAAAAGGCGGATCTGGAAGAAAGGAACGTATGTTAACGATGACCACCGAAGAGGGAAAGTGAATAAGAATGAACAGACAATCCTGTTGAAGACTTCCAGGGAATGACTGATGAATTATTATGACACGTTATGCATTGAAATTAATAATTTAAATGTAAATAGTTAATGGCAGTTATCAGATAGTGAGAGGCAGCCTTGGAGTCAGGAAAACCTCAGGTCACGTCCTCTCTCTGACTAATGAAGGAATGAGTGAAACACACAAACATTGATTAAGCACTTATTATGTATAAAGCACTCTGCTAAGTGATAGGGATAGAAATGAAAAAGTGGGGACAGTTCCCTGCTCACATTCTAATGTGGCAGAAAAGATGCAAACAACTATGCATGATCTGATTCTTAAGGTTTTTTTTTTTAACATGTAAGACAAAGGTGGCAAAGCAGGTTGTCCTATGTGTATAGATTACATACATTCAAGCACACAAAATAAATAGACAGTGCAGAATGATGTGTTATCAGCAAGGTGACTTTTAATAAAGGCAGTTAAAGCTTGCATCAGAAATGCTAATCATGAAAAATAAGTCCTGTGTTTTCGGGGAAATCACAACTAACCAATTTGCGTGGGGAGCCCCACCCCCTACGTGCTTCTGGGGGTATATTGAGTTCTAGAGAAGAGAATTTGGGAAAAATAGGCTAGATAAAGTACGAGAGTGAGGGGAAGCTAAAAGAAGGGAGTTCGATTAAGTAAATTCTTAATCCCATAAGACAACCAAAAGCCCGGACTATTAGGGGTAAAAGAGAACCCAGGGATCATCCAGTTAAATCCCCTCATTCTACTGATGGGCAAAGTATGTCACCAAGAAGAACAATTCTCTTCTGAAGGCCGTATAATTAAGCAACTGGCAGAAACCAGGCTCTCTGACCCCGAGTCCAGCTCTGTCTCCACTGTTTCACATTCCCTTCCACTCTCTAGCCCTTGGCAATCACTTCCGTGCACTGACACCTAGGCTCATAGATTTAGAACTGGCATAAGCATAGGAGCATAGAAGAACTGGAATAGACCTGGAAGCCCATCTAGTCTAAGACCTCTCATTTTGCAGATCAGAAAACTGAGGTCTAATGAGGTTAAGAAGCCTGCCCAAGCTGATGTAAAGGTGGGATCTGAGTATCAATCCCCTGCCTCCAGATAGCCAGGTCTATCATCATTCATGCCTTTCTTTGGATCCTCATTGGGTAGCACCATGCCCAGCACAGGATGCATTGTGAATACAGTAAGCCTTTGTTACACGGGTGTTTTCTGTCTGACTGATCATAATAATTACAAGTTCACTTCATATTCCTAAAGATCATTTGAAATTGACAGTGTTTTCCTCACAACAACCATTAGAAAGAGGTACTACAAGTATTATGATCCCTAGTTTATCAATGGGGACACTGAGGCTCTGACAGGTCTAGTGAATTACCCGTAGTCAACCAGGATTGTCCTAAGGTCAAAGCTTAAACCCAGGATCTCTTGACTGACAGTCCAAAGCTCATTCTACTATACAAATATTTCTTTGGGTTGCTACTTTCCATTATATTACCCCAAATCTCTGACATCAAGAATTGCAGAATAAATTCCTCAGAATCCAGTCCTAGGAAACAATTTATCTCTTGAGGAGGATTTGCGTGCTTCTTTTAATCAGAGGATGAGAACTTTAGAAGCTGATGCATCTCCCTTTCTGCCTTTGCTGTTAGGAATTGGAGAGTCAAATTTCAGGGCTCATACGCACTAGTTCACTCATCCAACATACTTGGTGACAACAATTTCCCTACTTCTGTTCACTGGACTTCATCCTATTTTGTTTGTAAGTGTCCTGTTCTGTTCATATTTTCAATCTGTCAGTCACTGTAAGTTATATCTGGGGGAAGGGATCAGTAACAACTGCTAGACTTGGGCTTTCACCCATATAAGGAACTCCCTATATATAGAACTATATAGAGAAGCCTGGCACCTTCTCTGCAACTTACAGCCTTGGAGAATTGGGGGGGGGGAGATAAAGTGACTTATCTAGGGTCATGGGTTAGAAACAAGATGTGAACCCAGATCTTCCTGGTTTCGAGGCTAGCTCTCTAGCCACTACACCCTGCTGCATTGCTGCAGGAAGGACATAAATAATAGATAAAGCTTCATTGCCTATTCTGGAAATCAAAGTCCCTACTGCAGACAAAGTCACCAGGGACCCCTGATCCTCAAACATGCTGTTTATCCTGACCAGTGTTGAATGACAGCTGAATTGACCGGTGAGGTTTGTAGCTGAAGGAGTCCTATACGCCACTGGCATACAATTCACTGGATGCTTATTATGTGCTGATTACGTGCAAGCCATCATGGGAGATGCGAACATGAGGGCTGTTTAATTTTTCTCCTTGTCTCTAAAGCATAGCATGTAATAAGGGCTTAAAATGTTTTTTAGAATAAATGAGTGAATGGACAAATGAATGAATGAATGAATGAATTCCAATTATGTGGAATGAACTACAGGAGTAACTAGAGATTAGAAATGGAATGTTGAAAATGGGGTCTGGTCTGGTCTAGATGGAATAGAATCCATAAAGGGCTAATAATTCGAAAAAAAGGCTAGGAAGGTAGATTAGAAACATATTGGACAAAGGCAATCTAATATGTACTGATTACTTTCTTCCCCCCTCCCTCCTTCCCTCCCTCCCTTTTTTTCCTCCCTCTCTCCCTCCCTTCCATCCATCCATCCATCCTCCCTTCCTTTCTTCCCTCTTTCCTCCCTTTTTCCCTCCCTTCCTTTCTCCCTTCTTCTTTCCTTCCTCCCCCTCTTTCCATTCCTTCCCTCCCTCCATCTTGTACTCCCCTCCTTCCTTCTTCTCTCTCTACCTCCCTCCCTTACTTCCTGCCCTCCCTCTACCCCTACTCCTTTCCTTCCTTCCTTCCTCCCTTTCTCTCTCCCTCACATCCTTCCTTCCTTCCCTCCCTCCCTTCCCTATCTCCATCCTGCACTCCCTTCCTTCCCCCCCTCTCCCTCCCTTGCTTCTTTCCTCCCTCACTTCCTTCTTTCCCCCCTCCCTTCCCTCTCTCCCTTTCTTCCTTCTTCCCTCCCTTTCTCTTTCCTTCCTTCCCTCTCTCCTTCCCTCCTTCTCTTCTTTCATTCTTTCCTCTCTTCCTGTTGGGAAGAGTACCACAAAGGAAGCTCTTGATTAGGGCTCAGGAGAAAACAATGCAATCAATTCTCATCTCTTTGAGGGACAACATGATAGAGTGTTGGACTTAAACACTTGAAGACTTAGGTTCAAATCATGTGCCGGATACTCTTTAGCAGTGTGACCTTGTGTAAATATCTTAAACTTTTTGGGCCTCAGTTTCCTCATTTGTTAAATGGGTGTGTGTGTGTGTGCGTGTGTGTGAACTGGATGTCCTGTAAGGTCCCCTCCAAATCTAGATCTATGATCTTCAGGATGAGGGAATGTCATGGTGTTTATTTTGGAAAAGAAATGGGCACTTTAAAGTCTTTTGGAGAGTTTTCTCTCATACCTTCTAAAAGGAGAAGGGACAAAAAAAGTCTCCTGGGAGCACTTCCCAGTCAGGGCTCCTAGAGGTTGGGCAGCATCCATTAGAATAATTACACACAGGCAGAATGTCAGGATCACATCTCTGCTGAAGTGGTGGGTGTTTGCCAAGTGCTGAGCCAGCAGGGGGAGGGGGCTGCTGAGCCACACTCCACAACATCAGCCTCCCCTAACCAAGAGTCACACATACCAACGAGGGGGACAGGCCGGTCCAGCAGCTGGGTCTCAGGTTGACGTGTAGGAGCCAGGGAGGCGGGGAGGCAATGGGTGGATCAGGACTTTGTTCCTGTCTAGGGTGTCTCTGTTTGTGGTGGATAGACTCCAGATTGA